GGCCCAACGATTTATGACAAGAGAGTGAGCATCTGCACACTTTGAGCCTCGCTTTCTCCGTTTCCTGAGTAAGAATAACAGTGATCATGTCACGGGCTACTGTGGGGCCGAGTGACCGGCACACATGAAATGCTCCTTGCAGAGTCTGGCGCGCAGTAGGTGCTGCTACCTGCAATCCCCCCTCTTCAGGGCCCAGCTGCATCCTCGCCGACGCACAGGTTGGCGGAGGCCGTCCCTTGCTCGGGGCCCCTTGCAAAGGGCGGTGGGAATTCCTCTTGTCCATGTTGTAACATCACATTCCGGCGCTCGCAGTCAAGGGCCGCTGCCATACATCCTCATCGTGCCCGCAGCTCCGGGAACCGGATCGCTCTGGAGAGGCCAGGCAGGGAGACCATGAATATTTCATCATGAGGCTCCTGAGGAGAGCTGCTTCACAGGCCGCTCTGCGTGGTCCTTCCCTCCCGGTGACTTACGTCTTCACTCTCTCTCTCCCCTCTTGTCAACAGCAGATGTGCCAAGGAGCCCTTCACTGCAAAGTAGCTCACAGAGGCAGAAAGAGAAAATAACAGCAGCTGGCCTCTGTCCCCCCCGCCCCCCCGCACAAGGAATCTTTTCTCAGCCCTTAACCCGACTGAGGCCCCCACAGGACAGAGACGCAGGGGCGAGGATGACCTGGTTTACAGATGGGGAAACAGAGGCAGCACACGGCGGGTTAGGTACCTGCCTTCTCCTCACCCCAGTCCCGTCTCTACACACAGACGGGAAGCTCCAAGGAGCCCGCGTTCCTTGTGTGGACTCGGGCTTCCCTGCCCCAAACCTTGCGGGGCCCCACCCGAGTCCTCCAGGAGACCCTCTGCGGTCGTGTGGCCGGTGCAGGCCTGTGATCAATCCTGCTCTGTCCTCAGCAGCTGTGCACCTAGTCAGCCTGCTCTCGGTGCCTCAGTTTCCTCGCTCTACAAATGGGGTGAGAAATTCACAGAATCCAAACCCTCTTCCAGGCCCGGTGCTGTATGCTGTTGGCTCACTGGATTGCCCCCCAGTTCCACGGTGAAGGGTGGTTGCCCCATTTTCAGAGGGGACTGGATGTCCCTGGAGGCCTGAAAGTGAGCTCCAGGGCCTGGGTCACGTGCTGTGTTAAGAATGAGCCTCTCGTGGGCTGTGTCTGCCCCGTGCCGATGCCAGGCCTGGGGCTGGGGAGGAAGCGGTGCTCGGGTGGGCTCTAGGGAGGGTGGGAGGTTGGCAGAGAAGTACCCAGGGGACAGTCGCAGAGACCTCTGAGTAGGGTGGGCTACAGATGGGTCTCGTGGGCTGTGCCAGCCCTTGGACCTGACGCACAGGACGGAGCGGCCCCGTCATCTGCTGCCTTCTGGACCTTCTGCTCCTGTTAACGCTTCCTGAGCTGGTGGCACCTTGGTTGGTGGCCTCGTGCATGGAGTTATCAAACCTGTCCCTGCTTCTGGGCCCCAAGCTCCGGGGCCCGGGACAAAGGGTGAAGGGTCTCATTGGGCCACCTTGCCTTGGGTGGGGAGAAGCTGGGCTTGGCATGGTTTGGGAGAGTGGGGTCCCGTCTGAGGGTGTGTGGCTGAGGCGGCAGCAGCTCCGAGTTCCTGGGTGGTGTTGCCCCCGCAAACCCCACCCTGCAGTCTACCCAGCCAGACTCAGATCTGTCTCACCACTTCCCGGCTCTGTGTCCAGCATGCGGCTATAGTCACTGGATAGTGACAGACGCTGAGCTGAGGCTGCAGTGGGCGAGATGGGCATGCGCGGAGACTGGTGTGCGGCTGCCTTCGTGGAGACTGCGGTCTGTGAGGGAGGACAGCGTCCATGACCACATGTGATTGTCTGTTACCTCCCAGCACCGGGTTCCCCCTCTAATCACTCAGGGTACCTGTTTGTGTGCGTGCATGCCTGTACGTGCACGTGTGTGCACATGTGTATGTGTGCTTGTGTCTATGCACGAGTGCCCATGTTTGTGTGCATTTGCACAAGTGTGTGTGAGTGTGTGCGGGTGTGTGCACCTGCGTGTGTGTGTATTGTCTGCTTTCCCTCCAGGACAGTTCCAGTGCAGGATTGCTTTTCTCTGTATCCATCCCTTTGACTGTCACAAAAAGGAGAGCTCCTAATATCTAGTAAATATATAAACTTCAAAAGAAAAATGGGCAAAGAATGAGCAATTGAATTCACTGAGAAGGAACAAAATGGCCAGTAACACGAGGACCCTGCCTCCGAGTCCACATTTAGTCAGCCACATGGCATCTCTGTGTCATCTCCCCCGCACGTGAGGGGAGTGCAGGGGCTGGCGAGGGGCGGGGACCAGGCACTCCGCACTCTGAGGGCACGGTGTCATTTGACACAAGATCCCTGGAAGGTGGTTTGGCCCTGTGCCATCGGAGATTTAAAATGCTCACACTCTTTAACCCAGCGATTCCCTCCTAGGGACATAGCAGAACAGAACAATTGGACGTGAGCCTGCGGACATGAGGGCAAGGATGCCGCTGGCACTGGGCTCTGTAAGTGATCAGCCGCTGTGTAGTGCGAACCTGGGAATGAACTGAACGTCCATGGCGGAAGCGCGGTTAAACGATGATGGTGCACCGTAGATTGGGTTACCGGGCGGCTCTTGGCCGACGTGGAGTTGAGTTTATTGAGGTGGAAAGATGCCCGTGGTGGATAGTGTTGCATGTACAGGCAGATCATGAGCAGCGTGTCCCAAACGGGGCCACTTCGTGAAATTCTCTCTCTTTCTCCACCCCGCTCGCTCTCCAGCTCTCCAGCTCTGAACAAGAGTAACATAGAGTACAAAGCTTAAAAGCCTATCACCAGCATGTTAATAGCTCCAGGGGGTGAGTGACGGTAATTTTCTTTCACTTCATCGTTCCTTCAGGTATTGTCTTAGTTATTTATGTTATGTTTTTTGCAGTCAATGCTTATTACTTTAATAACCGTAAAAATGTTATTTTTATATTGTTAAGTGATTCTGCTGTGCTCAAGGCTGAAGGCAGGGGCCTTTTCTCCAGAATGCCCCCTCGACTCCCCATAAAGGAGGGAAAAGTCTGTTTATGACACTTGAGCACCGTTAGGCTGGGCGCTGAGTTGCGGTGTCCACGTAGACAATCTCACGGCCCTTGGGAGCAGCTAGGGGAAGTCACGGTTACCACTGAACCATGAAGAAAAGAAAAATGCGGCTCAGAGAGGTGAAGTGCCCTGCCCAAGGTCACACGGCTGGGACTCTTATCACTTGGGAAGGAAGGCTTACATGTGCATTGGTGTGTGGAGGTGGGTGGTGCCTTCCCAGGGACACGGAATGGCTGGTCAATGAGGGATGTGTCACAGCTAACTGATAGAGGCTTCTGGAATGGCCCACGAAATGTGGCTGAGGAGGTGTCATGGCTGGGTGTGAGGGGGTCAGCGAGAAGAAGGGGGTGAACCTCGGAGCCTGGGGAGGGATGGAGGTGGAGACCTGGCCCTGGGCGGTGTGGGCGAGTGGGAACAAGCTCAGAGTCCTCAAGACGAGTCACCCACATCCCTGGGCTGCAGTTTCTCCAGCAGGAAAATGGGGTGACAGCCGTGCCAGACCTACCTCCTGGGGCTGTGGTGACGACCTCAGGGCACAACGGGTGAGAGGGGCTGCAAGCAGGACAAAGGGCTGTCCCATCAGCTCAGCGTGTACACAGCACCGAGGCCAGGGCTGTGATTATCGGTGCGGAAGGAACAGTGAACGCCAGACCTTCATGGGCGCGCTGCCCAGTGGATTAGTGTGTATTGACCATTTAATCTCTAGTAACTCCATGGAGCAGATAATGTGGCCCCACCTGTTTCATAATGGCCAGAGAGGCTGAGACACTGGCCTGAAGCCACACAGCTCGTGGGAAGCTGCTCTGGACCGACCATTTGTGCCCCCCAGTCAGGAAGCTCTAACCCCTGATGTGATGGTATTTGGAGGTGGGGCCTTCGGGAGACGACCTGAGGTAGATGAGTTCACGAAGCGGGGCCCTCATGATGGGACCAGTGCGTTTATAAAAACAGAAAGAGACAGATCTCTCTCCACCGTGTGAGAACCCAGCAGGAAGTCTGCAAACTAGTAAGTGGCTCCTTGCCAGAACCTGACCACGCTGGCGCCTTGATCTTGGGCTTCCAGCCTCCAGAACTGAGAGAAATACGTTCCTGTTGGTTAGGCCGCCTGCTCTGTGGTATTTTGTTATGGCAGTTGAAGCTGACTGAGACAGTGGCTGAGCTGGGTTTGCATCCAGCACACTGGCTCCCAGCCCTGCATCGTCCTGCCACAGCCGTGTGACCTCCCTGAAGCTGCAGGCTTAGATGAGTCAGTGCGCCATCCTGGGTCAGCCAGGAGAGGGAGTGAGCTGAGCGCTCTTGGACACGTGACTTAACCTCTCTGAGCTGCAGGCACTTAGCTGTGAATGAGGAGAATAGCTGCATCCCTTTTCCCCCATGTCTCCAAGCATCGGATGGGGAAAGATTTTAGAACATTGCCTGAGTCTCCTGGGGCTGCCATAACCAAACAGCACAAACTGGGCCGCTTAAAGCAACAGAAATTTATTCTGTCACAGTTCCAGAGGCTGGAAGTTCAAAATCAAGGTGTCGGCAGGGCCAGGCTCCCTCTGAAGGCTCCAGGGAAGGACCTTCCTTGCCTTTTCCAGCTCCTGGTGGCCCCAGGAATGCTGGGTGTTTCCTGGCTTGCGGCCGCATCACCATTGCTGCCTCCATTGTCCGTGGCCCTCTCCTCTGAGTGTGCCAGGGTCTCTGTCTCCAAACCTCCCTCTCCTTTCTCTCATAGGACCCCAGTACTCTTTCTCATTTACTTTCTTGATATAATTCACTGTGGGGTTTTTTTAAAATAAACTTTTAATTTTAGAATAGTTTTAGATTTGCAGAGAAGTTCAAAGATAGCACAGAGAGTTCCCGTCCACCCACACCCAGTCTCTGCACTGACTCACTCCTGACGGCGCTGTGGTGCGTTTCCTACAGTTAGCAAATCGGTGTTGATACATTGTTACTAACGAAACTCCTCACTTTATTCGGATCTCCTCAGCTTTTACCTAGTAACCTTTTTTCTCTTCCACAATTGGACTCTTCTTGGCTGACAGTTTCTCAGACAGCCCTTGTTTTTGATGACCTTGATGGTTTTGAGGAAGTCAGGTGCTTTATGGAATTTGTCTGATGTTTTTCTAGTGACTGCACCGGGGTTGTGTATTTTGGGAAGACCACAGAGGCTAGGTGCCTTCTCGTGACGTTCCGTCAAGAGCACGTGCCGTCAACATGACTCTCCACGGTCCGTGTTGAACTTGATCAGGTTTGTCAGGTTCTTCCAGTGACGCTTACCTCCTGCCCTCCTTTCCAGACTGCCCAGCCTCCTGCCCTCCTTTCCAGACTGCCCAGCCGGCACCTACAGAGTGGGGTTCTGCCCCCTCCCCTCCAGGGCTGAGTACCTACGTACCTTAGTTCAGATTCTTTGGCATAGGAGCTTTGTGTGTTCTTATTAATTTATTTATCCAAGCATGTATTTATGTCAGTATGGACTCAAGGATGGTTAGTCTGTTACCACTTTACTTATTTTCTTGCTGAAGTTGTGCCTGCTGTGGCCCCTGGGGGCGCTCACTCTCTCTGGCAGCTCTGACTGGCCTTGTCTATGTGTTTTGTTTGAGCATTTCCTTGCTTTCTGACACATTGAGATGCTCCAGGCTCAGCATGTCTATTTCCTGCACCCGTCCTGGAATCAGCCATTTCTCCAGGAGACCTGGTTCCTTTGCCTGGAGGATGGTGATAGAAACCAGGATCTGGGTGCTGGCTGTGCCTGTTGCTCCTGGGGGGGTCATTGTTTCCAGGCTCTCTCTGCCGACAGAGCGAGGAAATGCAGGAAATGCGTGTGTGTATCCTAGCCCATGTGTATACATGTCCATAAACATTTCCATGTGTAATCATCTGTGTCTATTAAATTAAACATGAGTTCATACGGATGTCCCCACCTCTAATCCATCACCTAGTGGATCGTTCCAGCCCCTCCCCTGCTCACCTATAACCTCCCACTCCACCAGGGAGACCCCTGGCTCCCCCCGCCTGCCATCTGTTCACTTAGTTATTCAGTCCCGGTCTACAGGCGTGGCAGGATCAGAATTGTTAGCCGGTACGAACCTCCATGGGAAACAGCTTTATCAACAGAGTTCAGGCTCACATGCAATTCCCTCTGCCCCCAGCCCCACAGACTCCACAGGTTTCTAAGTTACTCAGGTCAGCCCCTTTCTCCTCTCACTTCTCACTGTGAGTTTTTTTTTTTTTTTTTTTTTTAGTGGGGGAGATTGGCCATGAGCTAACATCTGTGCCCATCTTCCTCTACTTTATACGGGGTGCCGCCACAGCATGGCTGGATGAGCAATGTGTAGGTCCATGCCTGGGATCCGAACCTGCAAACCCCAGGCCACCGAAGCGGAGCACATGAACTTAGCCGCTACGCCACTGGGCTGGCCCTTCGCTATGGGTTTTTGATTATAGACTTTTTCTGTTCAAAATTTTGAAAACAAAGGAAAGCACAAGGAAGAGATTTTAAGTCACCCAGCATCTGACCCTCCAGGAGAGCCTCTGTGTGTGTCTTGGCGTTCATTATCTACCATTTCTTTGCCCCAAGTTACACTCCACATCAGCTTTACCTTGCTTGTTGAATTACATCATTCGTTCACTCAGAACATGTTTTCTAATAGTTTATGAATGAGTGCCCTGCCTACCGCATGTCAAGCGCGGTGTGAGGCTCCAGAAATTCCACAGACACCAAAAGGAAAGGTGGCTCTTCCCTCGAGAAGCCCCAGCCTTGGGGGTGTGGAGACAGACGTGACTCAGTCACATGAACAAATGCAGCATAGTGACTGTGACGTGTCCCAGGAGGAACACCTCCAACAGGGGTGTCTGGTCTGATCAGGAAAGTGGGGGGCTTCCTGAGGAAGGGCCCCTGGGTGAAGATCTGGGGGACGGGAGGGATTGACAGAGAGGAGGAAAGGGTGGTCCAGGCAGACGTTCCAGCCTGGGCAAAGGTCTTGAGGCAAGAGGGAGCGTGGCAAGTCTGAGGGTGACCAGGACGGCCAGTGTGGCTGGAACTGTGGTGGGCGGTTGGGAGAAGAATCTGGGGACACTGGTTGTGGCCACAGGGCCCGGAAGCATGCTGGGCAGCTGGCTCTGTCTCAGCACACGGGAGCCCTGGAAGGGTTTTGCACAGAGGAGGGTCACGATCAGATGCAGACTTTGAAGAGAAAGGCTGTCCTGGGGGATATTGGAGGGGCAGAGTGGACAAGATGGGCTTTAGGAGGTGATGTTGGGGTGATGTAGTCCTGGTCGTGGCGTCCACTATTAGGGTTGCCACCAGGCTGGTCTCCGCCTCAGGGCGTTTGGGCTTACTGGTCTCCCCTAGGTCTCCCACACTGCTGCCTGCCCTCCTTGAGGTGGAAGCTGAAGGGCCTGACTGCCCTTCTCAAGCCAGCCTCCTGCTCTTGTTGACCTCAGCACTGTCCACTTCCTTGGCAGCACTTGTCCCAGACCCTCGTGCTCTTGTTCCCACTTCCCTGGCTGCTGTCCCCCAGGGGACTGTGACTGGTAACTGGTGACTGGGCACTCAATGGCAACCCTGATGCTCGTGGGGACGATCCAGGCTGGCAGACACACAAAACCACCAAACACGAAGACACAAAGCGCACATGTTCGCTCAGGGGCTGGGGTCTCTTGGTTTCGACTCCAGGTTCACACAAGCTGGCGCTCTGGTTTGCTCTCAGCTCCGGAAGCAGCTTTGTTATTCAAGGGGACTCTGCTGTGGCTGCGTTTGGAACTCAGGGAGGGAAAGGCGAGGTCTGTGCTTTTGTCACATCTCAAGGGCCCCTCCTCTGCCCTGCCCCATATCAATGTTTGAAACAGCTGCTCTGGGCTCCTTGAAGTTCTTCATCCTCCACATTCTCTTCTCTTACCCCCTTAAAGGGCGTGTCTGGGGTCCGGCTCAGCTTCAGGCCCCGGGGGCTGCAGTTCATGAAACGATAGAACTTAAACTCTGGGAGGGCCACACTCATCGTATAAGCCACCTCCCCAGTCCCATTTTACAGACGGAGAAACTGAGGTCCCAGGGCTTCCAGATCACCATCAGCTGGCCTGGGTCCGGAGTCTGCCCCTCTGGGCCCCAGGCAGGGTGAGGGGAGGCGGGCTGGGCTGGGGTCTGGGGAGGGGGAGTCTGACGGGTGCCAGTGGGGTTTCCCCTCTTGCTGTCGTTACTGCTGCTCTAGTAACAGGCAAGCTGCCCCAGAACATGTACCCCAGCACAGCAGGGGTGGAAGGACGGTGGCTGTGTGCCCAGAGGGCTCCAGAAGCAGCCCTGCGCTGCCCCCACACCTTCCCGGGGTCTCCCTCCGGGGCGCTGAGCCTCCAGCACAGGGAGACTTGTCTCCCGTCCTTGTCTCCTCACACCCCGCCTCCCCACCAGGCTGTGAGCTCCCTGCTTGCTGGGCCCCGAGTCCCCAGAGCCGGGCACACACCAGGCGCTCGTCGGGGTCTGGGGGACACATTGCTGGGCTCCCGAGGTCCAGCCCAGTGCTTGGCTATGTGACAAGCTCTCGGTGCCTCGGTTTACTGCTCCGTCCCGCCTGCTTGCAGGGGTGGCCGGTCATGGGCAGGGCGGAGAGGAAAGGACACAGGACTTGGGGTCTGGCGGCTTGTTTTCAAATCCTGCATCCTGCTCCTTGCCGGCAGTGTGCCCTTAGCACATCTCCCAACAGCTCCGAGCCTTTCCTTCCTCTGAACCAGAGGTGAGGGACGACACCTCCAGCACAGGGCCCAGGGGACAGCTTTTTCCCTGGGGAAGCCCAGGGGCCTCACTGGGCAAGGGGACCAACAGTGCACCTGCTGCCCCCTCACCTCCGTGCAGGCGCCAAACAATGGACAATGGCGGAGCCACTGCCAGTCAGTGCTATTTGAATAACCACCGGGGTCAGGGCGCTGTCCCCCTCCCCCGTTATTCCTCACCACGATCCATGAGGCTCACACAGGGAGGTGCAGAGGGGTTGGCCGCTTGCCACAGGCATCCCCAGGACAGAGCCCAGGCTCCGGGCTTGAACCACAACAGCTTGCGGCAGGCACCTTATCGAAGGAAGTGCCGTCCCACAAGAGGTTCATAACCGGTGTGCTCTGTGCTCCCAGCATCAATTCTGCATTCTCAAGGTGGCCGGGGGCGGGGGCGGGGTGGGGGCCCTGGGC